TTTAACTGGGTTGTTGTTGTTGTTTCTTTCTTTCTTCCTACTTTCTTAGAATTTCTTCTTTATTCTTATTGTTTTTCCCGTTCTTTCCAAATTTTTTTTAGTTTCTTTCAATAATTTTTATTTTCTTATAACTCTTTCTACTTTCCGACAAATCACAATAAAAACAATATATTATTATTATTATTATTATTATTATTATTCAACTATTATGTTCATAACTATAGTTTCTAAATTATTTCGTTTTTTTCATCTTACTATTTTTATGATTCACACTCATTATTATTTTTTATTCAATTTTTTAATATGAATAATATCATTTTTTTTGTATATTAATCTACATGATAAAATAGGAAAATATCAATATTTTAAACTATTTAAAAAATTATGGATAAAATAGTTACATAGAATGTTTTTTAATCTAAATTTATATGAGGTGAACATCAATATTTTAATCTAAAATATAAAAACGGAATGGGTGTGGGGACTGGGGAGTACTACATTATGAAAACCAAGAGATAACTACATTTTGAACAAGAAAAAACAACCCAAAAACTGTAAAAAAGAAATTCAGATAACAAATAATATCACCAATAATTAAAATAAAACTAACGAAAAATTGGCAATTTTTACCTCCTCTAACCCCCCGGTAAACCCCCCCCCCCCCACCCTACCCACGACCCGAACACACACCACATGTCCGCATCTCCTTCAATTGCACTCCACAAGTTGATTTTGACTTTAGAGTCAAAATTTGACTCCAAAGTCAAAATCAACTTGTGGGATGCAATTGAATGGGTGGGGGTGTGTTCGGGTCGGGGCGTGAGAGGATTTACATGGAGATTAAAGGGATAGAAACTATCAATTTTACGAACGGGCACCTGGTGCGTGGTTAATAAATCGGGTGACGGATGTTTACCTAATAAATGGATGATGAGAATGATGCTCTGCCATACTTGACGATCTAAACGAGACCCACTGTCTTCCATATCCTTTATAACCTCCTCTAATTAGCTAGTGTAGAAATGGTCTTTAATATTCCGTATCTTTTTTGGATTTACAAATCATTGTATTAACAAATGCACAATTCAATTATAATCTTGCAATCAATCTTTTAACATCATTATATTCATTATGGGTCTTTCTACTATGCCGGGGCAGTAATTAGCCATAGACAATAGGTTAAGGATATATTCTTTAAGGCTGGAATAATAATAATATAATATTAATATTAATATTAATATTAATAAGCACATTAAAAATATATTACTTTTAGAGTAATTGTTTGAAAAGTAGAAAGAATTTTAAAAAAATGAGAATAATTAAAAATATTACTAGAAAGAACTTGAATAAACTAGAACGAACTTGAAAAAATTGAAAGTAACTAATAAAAAATAAAATCTAAAAGGTTAAACTCTAAAAAAAATTGGTATCTTTAATTACTTCGGTGACCGACTTTTTTAAAGGAAACTTTCGTGACTAACCTAATGAGTAATGACATCTATGCTATGATTCAAGTAGTAAAGAAAGACCTTGTTTGGACATTATTTGTTCAAAAAGTACTTTTTAAATATAATACTTCGTAAATTTTAAGCGCTGGTCAAACACGTATTATTATGATTGTTTGGTAAGTACGGAGTAATTTTTTAACTTATCCTTCTTTTTCCTTTACAAATTTTAAATTTTTCACAGATTATCCTCTTCTCACCCATCTCCTTAATTAATTGTGGATTTGTTTGGAATTATCTTAGAGGGACTGTATTCAACATATAGTCTATAATTTTTTTTTGTATTTGAAAAGTCTATTCCATTCATGTATGTGAGATCTTCCATTTTATTTTTTCTTTAAGGCTTTTATTATTTTTATTTAATTGCATACATTCGTATTGCTTGGGGGTGGGTGTGAAATCCGTTCCCGTTGGACCGTTCCGAAAAATCCTGGATCCGTTTTGTAATTGTACCGATATATTGGGACACATTTTTTTTATCCCGAACTCGTTCTGTCCCAGTATCAAATGGGACATGAGCGGGACAACAAAAATTTATAACGATCCGTCCCGTTTGTTCCGTTTCATCCACTCTACTAATATATAATAATAATTCTAGTTCAAAATCCAAATACATTTATTCTTTAATTAATTAGTTATTTAATTAAGTTAGCTTCATAGGCTTAACATTTATTTGGATCCATTCCACTCATTGTTTTTTGTTGGATGGCTACATGTTTCTTTTTTTAATGAAATTTCACCTCTCTCCCTTCTTATATTTGCGATTTAGGACAAAATAGGACGACCTGAATCCGTCTCGTTTTATTCCGATCCTGAATTTTATGGGACAAATTGGGATAAAGTTGTAATCCGAACCGTTCCGGACCGTTTGCATATAACGGGACAAGACGTGGGACAACCTAAAACCCGAACCATCCCGATCCATGCCCACCCCTAGTATTGCTTAATAAAATAAAATTTTTATGAGAAGCTTGGCCGGAGAGAATGGTGTAGTGTACCTTTTATTTATTTCTTATAAAACAATTCTAGTTTGTAGAATTTAAAAAAATTATTACTTCGATATAATTAATGGATTTTAAACAATCTGACATTTTTTTTTAAATCTGTTAATAAAATACATTATAATCTATCTAACTCTGCGTAGAAATAAAGGAATTCACAAATTTTACATAATTCATATAGTATAAACAATTTATATCTTTTAAATCTAAATTGAATACACATTCTTAGGATTTTGATTCAGTGTTGTAATTAAGTTTGTATCCGCTTAATTACTGCTCTTTCTTTTTATACGGAGTGTGATTTCTTTTTCACCAACGTGTCGCAGAGATCTTAAAAAGATCACAAATTTAATTTTCACTCCGGTTTGTTCATCTTCACCAAGCTTCTGCGAATTTCCCTTGGAATTCCCTCCTCCACAAGAGAACAAGAGACTGTTACTAAAAGAATATCGGAGGGTACTCCTGTCCTTTAATTAATAAGCTTATGTTGCATTAAAAAAACAAGCTACATATTTTAAAATAAGCTAAATTTATTTTTTTTAATTATTTAATATATATATATATATATATGTATGTATGTATATGTATATGTATATCCTTCTTGTGAGAATATGAGATTAGTGCATTTTCAGATCCTCGTGATACATTTTACACTTGTAGTAGTGCAATTTCAAAAGATTCAATTTATTTACCAAATTGTCACGGTGGGTTTTTCAATTTTTTTAGGTTTTTATTTTTTAATAGCCCTTAGATTTTCAATCTAATGGATCGTAGGCATTCTCATTTCTGTTACTATGCATCATTCTCATTTGATGGAGCACGACATCACGACTGTCAGGTTATTATGTCTGGAGAACATGACGTATGTGGTAGATTATGGAGATCGCCAGTATACGGAAAGAGCACTCGAGCCATATCAATCGCGACCCTGGATACTTATGCTGTTATATCTCTCGATAGCCACACATTTTGTGGGGGGCCTTACGACGGGGTTGGGGTGGGGTGTAGGGGCAGGGGTAGGGTGGGGGTTTAGGGGATAAGTTAGTGGAGGTAGGAACCGTCAATTTTATGAACGGAGCACCGGAAATATCCCAAAATGACAGTGGCATCGGAGTGTCACCGTACTTCAGTGTCACTAGAATCCCACCGTATTACTCCCTCCGTCCTAAAACTTTCTTCCCAGAGCATTATTCCAACTTCACGGGAATTTATATTTATTTATGTTTTTTCATGGCCTATATGATAAAATAAAATATTCTTCTCACCACTTGTTTTGTTAAACTTTTGATGTAGTTTTTAAATATGTACTCCGTACGTTTTATTTTTTATTTCTATACCAATAATATTTAAATAAAATAGATTGAAAAAACTTAAGATTTTTTTTTGGTTTGCGCAACGAGAAGAAAGATATAGGACGGAGGGAGTAATTGATATTAACCCACAATTCAATCCTATATCTTACATAGTACAATCGATCTTTTGACATTATTATGTCCTCTTTCAACTATTAGCTATAGCTAGCAGTGTGAATTATTTGTCTTATTTCTTTCTTTCTTGACCAAAGTCCAACAGCTCAACTATTTTTATTCTCAAACGGAGTATATGATAAACTCTGCCACTTTAATAAAGTCAAATTTTATAATTTCACGATATCCTAGAACACTTTAGTAATTAATCAATACAATTATGCATACAAAAATAATTGCTCTGCCCACAAATTATCTTCTTGTACATTATTCACAAGGTCAAACTTTATTGACCTATTTTCATTACTCATTTGATACAATAATATAGTAATGTCATATCTAGTTTTGTAGATCTTTTGATGTAGTTTTTAAATATATAATTTTTATTTTTTAATGTCACGCCATTTTTTATATAAAATGATTTGAAAATAACTTCAATCAAACATCGTAACGATTAACGGGAAGATAATTGTTAGACGAATGGAATAATAGTTTGTACTCGGATGGAGAGTGCTCTACTAGCCTTACTTGGCTCAAAATTATTGGAGTAACACTACAGTAGAGATAAATAATTACTCCGTATTAGATAGTGTTTCGCGCTATACAGATAACAAATCAAGATTTATCTTGGTATAATATCAATTCATTGATCTATCTTGATCTTTTGTTAATAGGCTAGTTAGGTCAGCAAATCAAATTGCCTATTTGTTAGATAGGGGAGATGATTCTAAATCTTATTTTCTTGAATGGGGGTGGTTACGTCACCATTATGCATTTCTACTAGTTTGCTTAATAACAACATTATGAATTAATGAGAATGTTTTTCAAAAAAAAACAATATTTAGCTCTTAATTTAATTAATGTCATTAATGTTGGCTAAAAATTCAACGTATTTGTAATTTAATGATGATTTAAGTCCAGCTATATACTTTAATAAAGCTAATTGTAACTTTCTTTCGGAATAAAAG